GCTCTGGGCCGTGGCCTTGGCCAGCTGCACTGCAGCCCAGGGGCTGGCTCCCTAGGGAAGCACAGGGGCTCTGCCAGGACCAGGGCATTGTTGGGTCGGACTTTGTCCAGTGGCCCAAGAACCCAGCTCCATGTGCCCACGCATCTAGTTCTGTGCGTTTGGCTGCTTCTGTCTGGTTCTGTGTGTGCACACACGTGTCTGGTTCTGGATGTGTGTGTGCATTTGTCTGTTCTGGGTGTGTTTTGGTTCTCTGTGTTTGTGCACGTGGTTCTCTGTGTGCGTGTGCCTGGTTCTCTCTGCGCTCTCCTTTTTCTTTCTCTTTCTGTCTCTCTCCTCTTTCTCTTATTTGTCTCTTTTTTCTCTCTTTGTCATTGCAACATGCTCAACAAAAAAGGAATACACAACAAAAAAGGCAACATTTATGATTATTAAATATACCAATATGCAGTGCATCCTGCTATGTACACCCCCTTTCCCCCATTTCGTTTTTCTGGCATGCTGGCACTCTGGCACCTTCCAAGATAGATATTGTGGCTTTTTTGGCACTCCAGCCAAAAAACGTTGCCTACCCCTGCACTATACTCTTGTTTTCATGGAATGCAGTAATCTTGAATTACATAATTAGACACTTTCTAATATAATGCAGTATGAAGTTTTTCTTCAATCCCCAATCTCAACAATATTCTTCTCCTTGTATATTATACTATCTCAAACTGTGAGTATGGACATATGGGTAACGTACCAGGTGTTAAGGAGGCAGAGCTTTATTGCACACCAGTTACTTGTGGTAACTGCTTGTACACAAGCTCTTTAGCTTCTACTCACTGCAGAGTAAGAGCACGCACATGTGCAATTGCAACAAAGCAGCTGATGCACAATACAATCCCATCCCCTTTTAACCTACCTAATTCATTTGGGTACTCGTATGTTATCATAATGATCTAGGTCCAACAGTATCTAACACATAAGGCCCCATGAGCCTAATGACAGGCATGAAGCCAGCCTGCAGGCCAAATCAGACCCACAAACCAGACCAGCACAGAGTCAGCATGCAGAGCCAGCCTGGTATGGTCACTGTATGCAGCATGCACTGATCCCAGAACTACACGCTGTATGTGGTGTGACGAGTCCATATAGGGTGTGCACTGCATGTGGCTCCTGCATTGGACCAGCTATGCATGCCAACTGCAGCATAAGGAGCCACTCTGTGGACCCAAAATAGACCAGATCTGGATGCAGAATTCAGGGCCAGTCCAGTATTAATGCCATATTCATTGCATACCTTGGATCAGCCCCACACCTGTGTGCAACACACATCAGGTTCAGCCACAGCCCCAAGTGCAGAGCACACCAGATGAGTTCTACTATACACTGCTGCATGCAGCACATTGGGCCAATCCAAGACCCACAAGACAGCACTGCAGGTCAGTGATAAGGCTGTATCTTGAGCAACACCACTGATTCAATCACTTTTTCTGATTTAAGGCCAAAAAGAAAGAGAAATTCACCACCTACACAAAGGATTTTAATTTCAAACTGAAATGGAAGGTAAGTACCATTAGAATCATCTAGGGGTGCACTGATAAAGATTTTGGGGGCCAATACCGATAGCCAATTTTTAAGGAGACGTATCAGCTGATACCGATCTGATTTCCAATATGCAGCCCTGCAGCTTGAAGAGTTGCGTCCACATGGTAAATCTGTTGTGGTTGAAGGGGAGCAGGGAGGGAAGAGGTGTGGCAGATCAAGGCCCCTGCAGTGAGGGAGGAGTGGGGCCAGGGCTGCCCAGCCCAGGTGGGACAGGCACGGGAGCAAGCGGAGCCCCCTGGACGAGCTGCAGTTCCTACTGCAGCGCACACCCCAGGAGGGTATGGGGGATGCTTGCCCCCAGATCTGTGAGCGGAGCAGGGTGGGGCAGCTGCCACTGCAGGCTGGGGCTGCACTGGGGTCTTTCCTGCAGGGGCTGGGCCAGGCTGTGCTTGGGGAGGGCAGCAACAGTGCTGGGTGGGGGCTATAGGAGGCAGGGCTGCAGAATTCACAGTATCCCCCCCAGTAGCCCCCTCCCTGCACCCGCCGGACATACCTCAGCTCCGTCCTGTGCCCACCTCGCCCTGGCTGGGCAGTGCCTGCCTCAGCCCCTACCCCTGCCCTGTTCCCCACTCACCACAGGGGCCTTGATCTGTGCCCCCCCACCTCTTCCTTCCCACCACAAAACTTATCAGCTGCAACCAGCTCTCCAAACTGCCAGGCTGTGCTCCTTGCCACCTACATCCTATGCTGAGGCTGTGCTCATGCACAGGACATTTAAAATCGGCCAAATTAAAAATCTACCACATCAGGGTGATTTCCAATACAGTCAATTTTCTTTATAATTGGTGCCAATCCAGTAATCGAACCAATGTATCAGTGCACCTCTAGAATTATCAATCCTATGGGACCTTACACAGTCTGGAAAGGAACCTGAACTCTTGCCATAGATCCACGCCTTATTTGACACATGGCATACGAAATGCCCATTACGCCAATGGCAACATTTGCAAAGCCCTGTAAATTGGTTAAGTTAAAAAGATTTTGAAATGCTTAAGTGTATCTTCTATGAGCATTTCTCCCCTGTTAAATTTCAGCTACCCTTCTCAGACTGCTTCAGCACTTCAGCAGTTCTTAAAATAATATTGTGTTCTCCCTGCTGCTTTTCACTTTTAAATGGTTAAACATTTTAACCCCAAATAGCAACTATGTAGATACAGTGCTCCCTAAACAAAATAGTTATACCTACTCTAGCCTTAGAGAAGGCCTAAAGGAACTTGTTACAAAAAATGGCATTTCAAATGTGACAAGAAAAAAAGAGACTCAATTCTTGTGTAGATTAATCATTGCACAGACAAAGTGGCTTCTATAATGTAATCCTAAATCTCATCTTCTAAACTGCTCACATTGTGCTTCTCTTGAAAAAACTCAAACTAAATATGAAACTCTCAAAAAACAAGGTCCATCACTTACCGCAGGATACCATTCGTACACCAGTTAAATTGTATTATACTTACGAGACTTCGGGTTCTCTCCGAAACTTCTGATTTTTTTTGGGAGGTTACTTCTTGCAAAGCTGTCTAATGAAGAAAACAGTTCAAAAGTTAAGAAAGGAGCCAATTACATGTGTGACCTGAGTATTTACTATATAGCTTCTGCACTTCTGACACCAAGTACCCTTCCACAGGTGTCGAGGCCCTTACCTCTCACCTGAGATGCAACATCAGTTTGGATTACAACCCCCCTTACCATCAGCCATGAATACTATAGAAGGTCTCACTGGGGTCAGAGACCCTGCTATAGACTTCTCTCCAGAAGCTGTGATTATATATAGGGACAATTATCTTAATGGGTGAATCTACATGTGAAATTAAGGTGATGCAATAAACTCTGGTGCAGTCCA